GATGACTTATGATGATGTTTTGATATATTTTGACGAACTCATCGTATTTTGACGAACTTTTCAGAAAATAAAGTTTCAGTAACCGGACGTTTTTATTAAATTAAAACAACGATTTTTCTGAGTTAAGTAACGATTTTTCACGGTAGCACCCCAAATCAGTTTCGCAAAGTAAAAATGTTTTAGTTTTCAAAAACTTTGCGAATAAATGCGCAACTCTGATTTTACAGTAAGATGGGGTGTTACATCCAGAGCCCCTCCGATCGTCCGTTTCTAGATCGTCTGAGGGTAAGGGTTCTGGCGTTCGAGCTTTGACTACTAGGTCGTTCCACAATGCGGTCGAGGTCTTCATACTTTAGGTTATTTCCAGTTGGCACACTTATGGCTGTCTCAATACGCAAACATTTTTTTCATACAGGTGTATTTATACGTAATAATTCTTATAAATTTAAGTTCTCAATAATAATAGATAGGATAGATTTTCTTTTGTAAAAGAAAATTTTATACACTAACTATTCTAAATTGTATAATATAATGTTAGAGTTATTATATACATAACATAGTCAATAAAGGATTATGATAGCTTCATATAGAAGCCTTGCCTTTACAAGTAATAATTTTTTTTATCTAAAAAAAAAAACCAACTAATTATTTAAAGAATGTTTCAATCCTTTAAACAAATAGCATAAGATTTTCTTTTTAATCAAAACTAAAAGTCTAAAATGCATAATAGCGTGCTTGTAGTTTTAGAAAGCAAAAATTATCATGATGAAATAAGGAGGTGCAGGTATAAAGTATGATCAGATTATGCCGAAAATCTATAAGGATGATTATTGTTTCAAATGCCACTCATAAAAATAAATAAGATGGTATTTTTTTCTCAAAACAAGCGCATAAAAATGTAGGGTCAAAAATTTATATATCTATTCTTTCTTTTACATATTACCCCGTCAAATAATTTCTTTTACACCCCCAAAATTCACGTGTTATGTGATATTACACTCGCATGTCCCAATGAACCAGCGCATATCCAATCGGCCGCATAATTTATGACTATGCGTAAACATTTCGCATTTTTTTAATCGCATATCCAAATCAAACGCATAATTTACAAATGTGCGAACATCTTTCGCATTTTTAATAATCGCATATACAAATCGAATGCAGCATAATTTACAATGATTATGCGCCTTCTTTTCGCAGGGCTATATCAACCATGCAAATTTATGACTGCGAAAATATTTTGCATCTAATTCGCATAGTTTGTTGAATACGCATTTTCTGGTAATTGCATATCCAAGTCAATCGCATAATTTACTAATATGCGAAAAAATTTTGAATATATCCTCCGGATAATTGACAATTATGCGACATTTTTTCGCTCGCATATTTAAGAATCGCATAACCAAATCGAATAAAGCATAATTTTTTTACGAGTATGCCCCATTTTTTCGCAGGGCCATATCGACCTGGCAATTTTACGACTATTCAGAATTCGTACGCAGATCTTTCGCATAAGTTGCGCAGCTCATTAATTGACTGTTTTTTCACAGGTGAGGATTTGGTCTCTGCATTTATCATGCAGGCAAAAAAACAGTAATCTCTAACAATTTAACGTCTTCACCATTCATCTACTGTATTTTTCTGTTTCTTTTTTTTTTAGTTCTTTTTGTTGTTCACTTATTTGAATGGCTAGCAACCGTGTTAGAGTATTGGAGCACTTTGGTGGTTCGTTTTGCGAGGTTTCATATCTTGATGAAGTGGCATAGCTGATGAGAATAAATTACGGCCGACAAATATATTCTGAAGTAGTTTCTCGTGCTCAAGCATTATTGAAGGCTGATCCTTGTAATTTTGAGTACATATTGTGGGCAGTATTTGATGGAAGGGAACGAGTTGTTAAGATGAAAATCGAATCCAGTGAGAATATCTTAGAGCAAACTGAAGAACAAAGAAATCCCAACATTTACGTGGAGTTGGAGAAGCGAGTAAATGTAGGGATTCCGGGAACGGCGCAACAAAGCTTCACGCAAATGATGGCATCCCAAGGTGTATTTCTGAGTTCTTTTGGTGTTGGTAGTTCTGCATTTTCCCACGAGGCCCCATATTCACATCAAGCATGCCCTAGTTCATTTACACATACTGGATATCCTCGGGGCGCTGATGATCAAACCTCGGGTTGTTCGAACCAACTAGGTCATTC